CATTTATCCACTACCATTTTGTGTGCTGCTCACTATAGTTAGTTGAAGAGTTTGCTTAAAAACAGTTTACCTCACTAGCTAATCATTAATACATTTCTACAGACATTACAGAAAATTCTTAAATTTCCAGCATGTCATTGTAGTCACACTTCACTTAAAACAGCTGTAATGTCAAATGTGATATCTATAAGAATTTGAACTTTTTCACTGAAATATCCTTTCTAAATCAAATATAAATCTGTGCCAGATATAATAGACTTTTATTTGAGCACAGTTTAAAATCAACAAGATTATAATTTAAGAGCTATAAGAAAACTTTTCAATGTGGTAAAAATATTATATAAATAGGAAAAGCTATTGGATTTCTATCAATAATTAGATTGAGAATAGAGAATGCATTAATGAACCCAACCTGCGTAATGTTGAGAGGGACTGGGAATGAATGAACATAATGTATATATTCCTCCACAGACAGACTGCATGCCAACTTACCATTCAGTTATTCCTGTGAGATATTTTAGCAAACAAAGGACAGTGCTGTAAGATTTCCTATGGGAAATGTGAGTTTGGCCGGAAGATTCGAACACAGTGCAGATTGATAGTGTCAGTCAGCAGAGATATGAGTGTCATTTAGTGGACGCAAGATCAAAAAAACAGACAGCGCGTCATTCACTTCTTTGATACTGGATCTTATTCAGAGAGCCGCAACAGTGCATCTCTGAGGTTCCTAGACAATAATGCATTGCTGATGTGCTGCGCCGCCTGACGTTTGTTCCTCCCTGAGCCCAGAATGAGACGCTTGGCTAACACAAAAACCTTTCGACTTTTCTCAGACATGTACGTTTTGCAGCCGACCAGAGCCGAAGTGCGTTTTTTTCCAGTACAGTGACTTGTGCGGCTGGAAACAGCTGTGCAAAGTGAATTTGAATCTCTGGCTTGCCTACAAAAAGGCCCAAGGCAGGATTTTAACCCAGGTCTACATATTAAAAAGCCTGGTGCTTTAAAACAGCTCATTAATCTGAAGCCCCATCCTCTGGGTTTTATCACAGGCTCAAGGAAAGAGGGGGCTGTGGTATGTTTTAATGTATTATTATAAATGTTAACCAGAGAAGGGCGACTTTGTTCCACACTGTTGCCAAATTGCCCCAGCTGGGTGTCAGAGCTAAGCAAAGAAAAAAAGTATTCCTACTAATATACATTCAGAAGACAGTGGAGAAGGAAAAAATAAGTTTGTGCTGCATTATTTATCACCCTTTAATCAACTCCAGCTGTGTCAGTAAACAGTTTTATGACGCTTTAATGAAAACATGCTGTTGTTTCTTGTGATCCGCCTGGGCAATCAAATTGCATAATTTGTGTTGTACACTCAGCCACTGTCTTGTAACGTAAACAGTGGCACAGCAACCCTGCACCACCCTTTGTTGTTTGTCTGGTAATCTGTTTTTTCTGTTTATATCGAGACACAAACAGAATATAATTTTCTAATATCTAGTTCAGTTGGGCTGCAGGGTGATGTTTAGACTTTTTTAAAACCACAAGAGCCAGACTCTGGATTCTGTATTCATTTATTTTTTCTGTATTATTCTGTGTGATGACTGCCAGTAATAACCTTTCTTCGTTTTTACCCTCTTTGGATTGCATTTGAAATGCTTCTGTTTTCATATAAAGAATTTCTGCCTGTCTGTCCATTTGTCTCTGTGTCAGTCTGATCAGCCTACATGATTCCTTGTCTTTTGGTCTGACTAGCTATTCATCCCTCTGTCTACAGAGCAAGTTAAGCTAGTGAAGACTGTGTCAAACTCATTTAAAGTCTGCTCTCAGTCTAATTTGACTCAGAAATATACTCTTAACAGTGCCATCATGTAAAGAATCTCCATACAGTCCCATACTGCACTTACAGTACAGTTAAAGTTCTAAAATCATTTTGTTACAGTAAGGGATAGCCTGAGTACTAGTCCCAAGGTTTTGTGGTATTAGATTATATTTCGATGCCTGGAATACAGCATGAGCTCCTCTTTTCTCCCCTTTCCTTTTTGTCTCAACAGTGTTTTGTTATCTTTTTTCTTTAAGGATCAAGAAAATGAATTGAAAGATTATATAAAAAGTATATCTAAAAATCATGGTAGCCTTTGATGTATTGCTGGATTATTAGTACAGCAAACCTTACCAGTAACCACTGCCTTTTATCAATCCATTATTAGAAAATGGCTTATTCCTGGTGAGCCTTGTGGCAAATCTGAGTCTATCCCAGGATCATAGAGTGCAAGCACACAGGACAAATGCAGGTGATTGTAGAAAAATGGAGCACTGGAATAACATACAAACTCCACACAGATGGTACCCCAGTTTGGAACGGAACCCAAGAGCAGTGTGCTGCATTTTAAATAAATAAATTAATTAATGTTTGTTTGTGTTAAACTTTCTGAATTTAATGTTAACAATAATAGCCTTCTTTCTTTCCCCAGGGAATCATTGTGTAATTGTTTTTTTCTTTCATTTACTGAAAACGTTGTAAAACAGTAATTTCATAGAGGAAATTATAATTAAGTTTAATTACCTGTCAATAGGGATAATTATAAACCTAATTAACCGCAAACTTATCATAAACACATATTTGTAGGAGACTGGTAAGAGTGTTGCAAACGGGTTTCTTTTATATGGTATGTAGGGTAAACATGGAAATAGAGGCTTCTTCCCTAGTGCACTGAAGGATAGGCCAGCGTTGCCAGTTTTGTGTGTTTACTTGAGCTCAAGGCTTACAGAAAAAACAAAAGACTGTGATTCTCTCTCCCAGACTGCATTCCTGTCTGCTGAGATAGACAAAACAACAAACAAACAAACAAACAAACAAACAAACAAACAAACAAACAAACAAGCAAGCAAACAGACAGGCTGTGATCAGCATTGCCCGTGGCTCTGGTTGTGACCGAGCTCTGCCAGTGGTGGGGGAGGAATTATGAGGTGGGCATTACAGTGAGTGCAGATACAGTAACACATTCGTTTTTTTTCTCTTCTGACTACAAAGTTCAGTTTCAACCACATGCATTCTGTTTGTATTGCTCAACAGAATGTCAAACAAGAAATGTAAGAATTGTTATTTGATGCTCGTACAGTCGACAATGCTGATTGATTACATTATGATCAGTTGTGCATCACAATACAACCTCTCCAATTACTAACTAATATTGATAATTGTGTGGTGCTATAACCAAGTAAACAACTCTCATAATAGAAGATATGGGCTAGGATTTGAAAAGGTTTTCAGTAGGAAGTCATACAATAACCAACCCTTAGTAATTTTTCTTACCGGTGCTTATTCCAGACTTGTCCTAGAGATGTTTTTCACTTCGCCAGAAGTCATTTATTTATAGTAATTATTAACTCCCTCACCTCTGACTTTGACCTCTGTACAGCCCTTTTAAAATTTGACAACAAAGACAGGCCAGGATATCACTCACACAGCTGTAAATATGCTTTAATCGTTGCTTTCTTAATGTATTTGAAACTTAAATGCAAGTTCTTGTGCATCATTCCATCAGTCCATGGAATATATACAGCATAGAACTTGTTCACTGGGAAAATTATAAAGGCAACTTTTTATTAATACAAATTCATCCTGAATCTTAGCACTTAGCACATTAAACAGAAATAAACATATTTAGCACGTCTGAGAGTGCATGTCACTTTTAAATTCCTGTGTCTGCATTCCTAAAAGAATTAACGCCTTTCTCATCCACAATCCAGCATGAAACTGTGCTGAATTTATGATGCTGTTTCAAAGAACTCATTCATGCTTTTTCGACCATTATTTTACTTTATGCAACAAGAACATTTGGGAGGATCTGTGGTGTTTCATGGATAGGAATGGACTGCCAAACCACCAGAACTGAGGTGAACATCAACTATAGTGAACTTACAGTATATGATATCACTCCTATGAAGAGAAAATTAATCTTTTAAACTAATTCCAATCAGGCTACATCCTGTAAGGAGCAATCATCCTGGGATTTCTATTCTTGTAAAAAATAAAAAGCAAGTTTTAAAATAAGGCATTTCACAGGATACATTACTGAAAAAAAACATTCCCTTTGTTCTGAATACAGACAACAATGTTGTGTTAGATGAAGATCCTAAAATATGGATGATGGGACAAGTTCCAAATCTGTTTTTAAATAAAATATGTTGCATGTTATTGACAATGTATGCCTGTACTAATTTACATCCCATCAGCCATCACTCTGCCTGAAACACTTCTGCAAACATTCTGTTTTGTCAGTCTGAACTCTTAAGGGGCAGAGACTGAAAAAACAAACAGATGAGCCCGAATTCTTGTGTTTAGCTCAGGTGTGGTCAAGTGCAATTGCCAAGTGTTACCTGTTAAAAAACTCTTCCCTCCACTCCTGGGGCTCCACAGAATTAGCAGGATTATGTGAGCGAGGGACTTTTCCTCATTTAGTTAAGCAAGAAACTAAACTTGTTGTGCTAAATTTTATAGAAGAGCTGTGGGTTGTGTGAATTAAATGTATGATCTGCAGATACTGTATTTTATAAAAAAGTTTTTAAAAAACGAATTTACATAGGTGATACATTGTGGGTTGATTTGACCAAAACAAACAAAACAGTGATAATCACTGGTAACCTGCTTCTAATTAGTTTGCAAACTGGTAAAACAGTGTTTATAGCCTAAGTGTTACTACTGTCTGCCTTATATGCTTTCATCAGAACAATTTCCAAGATCCATTAGAAACATGTCTGAAACTTATTTTTTCTGTAGCTACTGCCTCCCTCTGTGGTATAAATAAATCGATTATTTGTAAGTCACGGTCCTGTGGAAAGAAAAGTTCTACCGCACAAAAACAAAAAAAAAGTTTTTGTTGTTATTAGTATTACACTCCGACCTTTGAACGGTTGCTAAGGTTTCTCTCCCCTTTGAGTAACATCTGTCGCTCGCTGGCCGTCACAATGGCAGATGTGGAATTGAAAGGTTCACAGAAGAATATACAGCTCCGGAGCGTTGCGCGCTCCCGCTAGCGTGCTGCTACCAGCGGCGGGCAGGCAGGGGGAAATGTCGAGCGCACCTGTTTTAGATGAATTACGGTAGACTAAACTGTCCCTAACATCTCCCTAACACAGACACAACCCGAGTAATTCAACACACTGATTTCTCTCCGAACGAGCAGGGGGGACAGACGGGATGCCAAAAACTCGAGGAAGAACCGTCGGGACTTCTGGAAAGCGCTGGCACTAAATAAGAGAAAAAAAAGGGGGGAAAAGTGAAAGAAAAGAACAAGCCGGAGGAGAAATCGAGAAGAAGCTCAGAAAGACTGCGCGCTGTTTTCTCTGTTTTTCTCCTCTCCTACAACTTCCAGGAGCGGAGATCATGCAGCCCCGGCGCTAGTGCACGATTGTGGTTCCGACTTCTCGCCAACTGAGTGCTCGCCTGGAGAGGAAGCGCGTTAACAGGCGGCTAGCGAGGACTGGGGAAGACCATTGTCGCAGAAAGTAATGATCGTGCAATATCACTCTTAGATCAAAGGTTTCTTCTTTTTCACTTTTTTTGTGGGGGTATTCCGTTGCCTTTTTTCATCTTGTCTGGGGGGGGTGGGGTGGGGGTGTCGCCGGGACATTTCTCTAGCCGGGAAGGGGAGCAAGTCCACATGGTCCTGCGGTAGCGTGGAAAGTTTCCGAACAGGTTGAATGATATATTTTGATTATTGTCTTTCATTTCTTCTCGTGCCATTTTTTGGTTTAAGAAATCCCATTTTCAGTACTTCTGAAGTGAATAGTTCAGCGCGTTTAGGGTCCGAACTTGTCTTTCACAGTTTTGACAGGTGAAGTTCATTTAAGACTGATCATTTCATAACGCCGCAACAACGTGGTCAGCCGGTACTATTAGCAATGCAATGTGTTAACTATTAATGAGGGATAAGAAGCGGGATTTCAAACCTCATTTTATTGCCATAAGTAATGATGAATGACTGGTTTGGTTTATGATTAATGTATGTACTTCGGAAATCTTTTAACTTTTAATTGTTGTATAACTTAAGTCGATACAGTTAAGTTTTTCTGAAACTTTACGGTACAGACGTTTAAAAAAGTACAGCTGTTTTAACATTGCAGTTCCACGGCCGTAGTGATAACTCATTAAGGTAATTGCGAAGCGGAGCCTGTTATTCGAAGTGGCGTTTTTGTCGGTAAAGCTTAATTTTCAGTCGCTCTCGATTTTAAGAGATAATGTGGTCACCTCTTCATCAAGATGGCTTGGATCGTGACCCCATGCGTAAAAAAAAAATATTTTTTAAATCGTTAAAGCTTTCTCAACTAACGTTTGAAAAGTCACAGTGAAGTATACATATTCGAAGACCAGGAGCAAGAAGAGGTTTATTGGGATTTGTTCTGAAATCTGTGTCAGTTTCACTAACAGACGATTAAGAACAAAACCGAACGTCAGACGTGTTGCTTTCATTTTGACGCAAACTACAGGGCAAGCATTGCCCGCTGTAGACTTTTTGAGGATACCAGTGGGGGAGTGGGGGTCCAGTTTTTAGGATTTGTCGTAGCTGGAAGGTATCAGAATTGCCTCAGTCTTTAGAGGTCGTGACCTGTTTGAGAAGACTTGAGCATTTTCCCTGTACGAGTACTTTCCTGACTTTGTTACTATGTGCATTGTTTTCGCCTCAAAGCTACTAGACACAATAGAGAAGGCCCGAACGGGTACTTTCTTTTGGACTATATTGCTAAACTGGATTCCGATATAAAACAAAAACATTTATAAAACCTCCAAAAAATTAAAATAATAGAGGATCATAATGTATCTAAAATTGAAGAAAATTAGTTTTTTTATTAACGTTTTAGAAATATACATTTTAAAACGGAAACCCTTATCTTGAGTTGAATAAGTATCCAATTTTAATTTTTAAATATTTATTAAAAGTAGTTGCAAAACAAAATGTATTCCCGTGTCCGCTCCTCTTTACGACGAGAGTACAGGTGTTTAATTTACAGTTTTAGTGTTTTGAGCGGGACTTGGGAGTGTAGTTACTTATTCACACTAATGTGCCGTCAAATAACTCATTCTTTTAAAAACATGAAGTATATAATAAAGTAAGCGAACACAACAATCAACAGACCCAACTGAGTAGCGGTGCGGTTGTAACCTTGTAATTCTATGGAAGAATACAAAATAAAATATCCTCTTTCAGACCTTTTCTGAAAGGAAAAAACGCAGCTTACAATTTTTTACTTTTATCTACGACAGACATTTTTTATTCTCATAGTAACAGAAAGTTGCGAAGCCATAATACTTTGTTCCAAAATCACACGACTTTTTGATCAATGTCCCTTTTCTATTAAATTGCAAAAATAAAATTGATGAAAAAATAAAATGAATACGTAAAAAAATTGTTGGATGGGTATGCTCTATGAGTGAAAATGAGTGAATTTGAAAAACATTCTGAATTCTGTTGCTATATTTACAGCTGTAAATTTCAAATTCTCGTCTTGCTGTAAAGAGATTTTTACTGCGGTTCCGCTGCAACTATTTGTTACTTCCGCGCCACAGCAATTCTAGACCACCTTTTCTTGGGAATTAATCGGATGAAATAATTAATAAACATAAATGGATTTATTATCGCATAATGCAGAGAAACTGATTCACGTGGTATACAAGACGCGCGCAGTTCACGCACTTTTTTGCGGTTGTCTCGCATTTCTTAATCAATTAAGCACCTTGGAAGCCCAAGACCTTTTGGGATAATTTCAGACAATTGTTTTTCCGCTTGTAAAATAAGTGGAACACGACAAGACTTTTTTTAGTTCGTGTAGAATGTCTGTGTGCTGTTTTATTTATTTTAGAAAAAAATGCTTAGGCAATGTTTGCTAGACTCCACTTTCTGTAAACATTTTTAAGTCCGAAGTTTGTAATTACTTTTATTTATTTACTTTGTTGAAGGATGTGTTTGGAAATTCAGAACAGGATGTCTAAAGTTATTCTTTTTAAAAAATGTATGTACAAAAACAATAATGCAGATTTTTTTCCAAGTTGGCACATAACATGTGTATATGTAGGTAAGAAGAGCATGCAGTGTTAAACATAATTTGAGTAAAAACTAGAATTTATACACCGTGAAAGTACAAAAACGTCACTTATTATTGTATGCAATTATCTGTTTTAGGATTCCTTTAAGATCTGTCCGCATGGCATTTGGAGAATGACATAGGTGTTATTAAGGTTTGATTGATGACAGACAGGGACCGTTTACCCCACTGGTATTATATTTGGAGCCTTTCGCAGTTTCGCAGTACAAACGCTGTTATTGCTCAACATGAAGGTGATTTCAGGATGGGAACAGTGAAAGCGTTTACAGTAAATGAAATTATTTGAATTTAGTTGGGTAGATTCCTAGTTCAATTTTAAAGCGTGTATTGTGTGTGGATAAAATAGTATTTCATTATTTTATTTGCAAATCTTTTATTTATGTAGGCTATGGTGCGCATGTATATGTAAATTATACCTCGCTTTTAATGTACCTAACAAGGTAGGGAATAAGTCTTAATTGCCCTCTCCTCAAGTAACTATTTTTTAACATCAACAGGAGCAAACTGTCAAGATGTGATTATTCTATTTTTCAGTAAAAAGGCAAATAATCTATTTAAACCACCCAGGTGTTTGAGTGAAAGAAACACTGTATTACACCATTTACATTTCAGCAATTATTCTTCTTAAAGGAATGTTTGGCAGATATAATGCCTTTTTTTCTGAAAAATGCAAAATGAACTTATTTAAAATATTTTTAGCCTGTGTAATAGTCTTAAACCATTAATATAATGTGCTATGGAATTTTCTGTGATTACTTCTATCTAGTTTGTACTGCTTCAGAAGGAGCTGAGTTGTAGATCTTGGGACTTAGGCTTAGATATTTTTTAAAAGGGAATTCTACCAAAAGACAGATTGCACCCTTTACTAAAAAGGCCCTAATAACAAATCCCCTTATCAAATACTTCCAGACCTTCTTAAAAAATAATACGAGGACTGCTTCCTTCAGATATAGATTAACCTTTAATGATTGCTATCTGAGAAATAGGTATTTAGAAATAAGGTCGATCTGTGGTTGTGTAGCTCTTAAGAGTCAGAACAATACAGGTGCTGCTCAGGAATGTATCCCAAAATATTCTCTGGTTTTGCCTGATTAAGAAGTGGGATGTTCTATGTGGCAGGGAATCTCTAAAATAGACAGGGTGTTAGAAGCAAATTCCAAAATTCGGCAAATGCCGTTCAACTGGGAAAGTTTATCCAGGAGCAGGGCCTCATGGGCAAAAGGGAATGTTCACGTTCCACTGAATAGTGACACTGCAAACAGCAGTCTGTCCTTCTTTGTCTCTCCTGCACGTCTGTGGAGCTGTAACCTGCAAAAGCTAAACCTTTTGCTTAGCAGCCATCCTGTTTATTAAAAAGTGTGGCTACATTCTTTTCAGAGCCCCTGCTGTTTTCAGTGTGCAGTATTTTTAATGGCTTGTTGATGTGCTAATGAGGAGTCATCCAAGTGTTTGTACTTCTTAATTTTTTTGTCCTTCTTTATGATTTCCTTCAGTGCTTTAAAACTATTGTGCAGTGTCATTTTTTACGGTGATATCCAACTATGGATGTGAAGCAATTGAACAAAATAAGGAAAAAATAATTTCAGCTGTTTTGAGATGTGCTGGAGCTGGGATAGGGTTCCAAGTGTTGGATGTTTTGAGCTAAACTCCGGACAGACACCTGAGCCTGCGACTGTGGGGGAAGAATGTGTATGATCTTCAAGGACGGTAAAAAGAAGATGCTGGGTTTTTCAATTTTTTTTAAACCATCCACTGATTTGCACCTCAAGCTGTTAGATTTGTTGGAAATGAGGTTTACCTTGGTTTGATCCAAGTTCTGTCCATAGTCATTCCTGGGGTGTGCCTGCTAGCCAGCCCAGCTCCCACTCAAAGGAGACGCGCTTTGCTGCGAGCTTCCTGATTTGAGACGGGATCCTGTCGGGCACGCTGGATGGATCTGTGGTTTCAGAGGTCGTCTTATCAAGCTTTAAACAAATGAGCCCTGTAGTGAGCTTTTTTTTTTAAACATTTTTTGGTATTCTTATCACTACTGCTAAAAAATGACAATGGATGCAATCTCTCTCAAAGTTTTTTCTTAAGAAGATCGTTTACACTGGATCTTAAGTGCAGGTTTTTCACGTAAGACTTGAATTTAGGTCAGATGATATATTCAAATAAGTTTCTTATGATTTGCTGCATTTTTACTTTTGGATTAAATGATGTGTGCATGTTTTTTTATTTTCAAATTAGAAATGTTACCCTGGGAAAGGTTAAACTTCCTTTCGATGGCGATGGCTTTTCAAAACAGTACCAGTTGTAGTGGACTTTACTAGAAATTTGAATCCATTTCTGTGAATGTCAATTAAAACATATGGCTTTAATTGAAATTGTTATTCAGGATTTTGACGGGCTGAATTTTTTTGGGGGGAATAATAAATTACATTTTTAGACAGTGAGGGC